ATTTTAGCAGCACGCAGTCACTGATTTCCCAAGCCACGGCGCAATGGGAAGCAGACCCTTCTTTATGGCTGAGAGGAGTCCCGTCGAGAGACCTCACCTGCCCCGTCTTCCTTGACCCTCTTGAGGCCCCTCCTCTTACGTACTACGGCTCCTCTCGCCTCAGCGAGTTTTGTGTTGCCCCTGGCCAGGACCCTCCCCACATTTTTGGAGATGGGTCGGGGGGGAAATACAGCAGTGACCCGAGACGCAGGCGCTGTGGCTCTGGAGTTGCCCTCATTCGTCGGGCTGAGGATGGCTCCTGGGAGCCGGTCGCGGGTGTCTCTTCCCCCCTCCTGGGGCCGCGGCAGACCGTGTCGCGCGCGGAGATAGCTGCGTTTGCCATCGCTCTGGAAGAAACCACGGGACCCATCATTTATATCACTGATTGCCAGCCTGTCCTGGATGGTTGGAGAGCAGGTCGAGCCCACGGCAAGCTAGGCCCGAATCAGGACTTGTGGTACAGGGTGGCGGTGGCGTTGCGTAATCGGGGGGTGGCTGAAGTGCAGGTCGTGTGGACGGCTGCCCATCTAGAAGACACAGGCAAGGCTCTCAGTGCTTGGCAAGTTTTCCTCACTGCTGGCAACATGTGCGCTGATGACCTTGCGGGTAAAGCGGCTGACGAGGCCTTGCTCCTGTATACTCGCCAGCCTGCCCCCAGTACTGACATCTATGATTGCATCGCCCACCTTGTCAGACGCAGGGCCCGACGTGCGTTGCAGTGCTCACTCCAGGTTGACCCTTGGCAGGCCACAAGGCTCGCCAAAGTGCGGGTGCCCCCTCCCTCCAGGAAGGCTGCTGCCCTGAGGGACACCTCTCATGATTGTGAGCAGGTCGGGAGCAGGTGGCGCTGTAGGGTTTGCAGTCAGATTGTGGCTTCCACCCAGCTCCTCAAGTTTTGTGCTCAGTCTTGTCCAGGCCTGGCCCCAGAGATCCGAGGTCAGAAGTCGGAGTGGAGCCAATTTGTCTTGAGGACTGGAGAGATTTTGATTGGGGCCACCTCGGCCCACTCGTCCCACAAAATCTTCTATTGGCCTGAGTTTTCCCTGCATTTTTGTGTTTGTTGTGGGCTGACCGCCACAGTGGATGGTAGGTGGCTCGCACGTCCTTGCCAGGAGCCCTCCCCCAAAGGAGCCCAGAACCTTGACAGGATTCGTCGAGGCATTTTTCCTTCGCACAGGGGACCCCCGAAGGCGGTGCAGCTGGCCAGAGTGCAGCGTGAAGCTTCGGACGCGGTCCAGCGTGCGAGGGAGGCTCGGGAGGAGAGTGGAATGCAGCAGCCCCTTTTCTGTGTGGGAGGTGAGGGTGGAGCGGCTCGCCGACCCACCAGGATCCCTCACCGTGAAGGCGGGGACTCATCGTCGGATTAGTCCCCGCCTAACCCGTTTAGTTTTGCGGACGCTCGTCCTTTCATGGTCACTTCTGGTCACTCCTCCTCCTCCTCCTCCTCCTCCTCCTCCTCATCCTTCCTCCCCTCCTCCTCCCTCATCCGCCACCTCCACCCTTCCTCTTCCCCCTCCCATCCCTCCTCCTCCTCCGCCTCCTACCCCTCCCCCCGCTCGTTTTCATCTTCGTCGTCTTCAGGGTCGGCGGCACTGGCCGTAAGGCCTTCGCAATAGAGTTGATGTCGAGCGGAATATGACGCTTACTTGCAAGGGTCCGACAGGATTTGAATTCCAGAGGAATTTGAATCCGAACTGAAAGAGTTCGTGTGGATGTAGGTTACAAACGATTTGGAATCGGAATTGCTATCACTGGTTGTGAATATACAAAACTTGATTTGTACAAGAGTTTGAGTATACATTGCCCTCTCTAACTCCAAAGTTCTCTCCAACCGTTGCACTTGTGAGTCCAAATCCTCTGTAACTATCAATCCTTTCTGACCATGGAAAGCAATGCTCCCATTCATATCTAACTCTAAATGTATATCTAACCAGTGATATTATGATTCAAATTCCGGTGTAACCCAAAAGTCACCTCTAATCCTGGCAACTCTGATTAAAATGATTCAGTAACTTGAACTCCTCTCTAACCTCGGCGATACATATTCAGAGTCATCAATGACACACACATCTCCAACCCTTGCACTTCTGACTCAAACTCCTCTGAAACCCTAAATCCGATCTAACCCTGAAAAGTATCATTCAAACTCATTTCCAACTCAAAAAACGATTTCTGATAGTTGCCATCATGGTTCTAAATCTATGTAACTCTGAATCCACACTGATCCTTTCAACTATTACTCAAGTTCCTGTAACCCTACAAACTCTTTACCTCTAGTCCTATTCCTCTATAACTCATAATGATCGTAAACCCTGGCAAGTATAATTACAAGTCCTCTGTAACTCAGAATTCTCTCTGGCCCTGGCAATTTCTCTCCAATCCTTGAACTTCTGATCCCCTACCGTACAAATGCCCGTCCCTATTCTTGCTGCAACTACCTACAGCACGCGCCGCAGCAAATCATACCTAAACACTTGACAAATTGACGCTGAACTGCATCCAGGTTACCAAGCCCCGTACAGAGCCCGATTAAGCCCACGCAGTCATCAAGCCCCGTACAGAAACCGATTACGCTTGATCAGGCCTGCCTGGGCCAGATTGGGCCAGATCAGGCCACCATGGGCGGGTGGCCAGCCAGTCGCGCAGGGCCCACTCCTCTGGAGACCTGAAAAATCCAGGCCAAAAGAAGTGTTCGCAACTTTCGGCGTCTGGTAGCCGTCTCCTGGGCCCCAGGACCGTCAAAGGACGGCTCGGATGCTAAACAGGTCTTGGCGAAACGGTCAAGAACTCCAGAGGCCAGAGACTCGGCCGAAAACGAGTCGTCGGTCTAGGACCACAACAGGTCCGGCAGCCAGCCAGTCGCGCAGGGCCTCCCTCGCGTCCCACGCCGTCAAACCTCCGTCGAGGATCGGGAGTCGAGGGTCGAGGACAAGGAAGTCTGACGGGGCCCTGGGACACACAAAGAAATACATACAATTCCGAGGATTCCCCATAGTTTCCCACATCTCCTTGATTTTCGTCTTCCCCCCCGCTTCCCATGTTTTCCCCACACTTTCCTGGGAATCGACGGTCACTTGTGTCTGCGTGTTCTTCCCCTCCTGGCTGCTGCTGCCCCCCACGGCTGCTCATCGTCGAATTCTTCGACGTCGGAGCATCCATTCTTCCTCCCGGCCGTCCCCCCCCATCTTTGCCCGCCGGCCAGTTCGCTTTAGTCGAGGCGTTGACCTAAGGAACCCTCAATAAGGAACGAGGCCTCTGTTTCCATAAGTTAAACTTCGACTTCCCATCGAAAATTTAAGGAAAACCTTAGGCAAGGTGTGGAACAATTAAGGAACACCGAGCCCCTCCCCAAAGCAAGGGGTTCCTTCTTCAGCGCCCCGACTGTAGTTGGTGCCCCTTTCTAGCTTCTTGCTGGAGCAGAGTTCGCCGCCTCGCCGCTGACAAGAAAAAAGTGTTTTTCCCTTCCTGATCTTTGGAATATCGTTTCACCGATCCCCCTCCCCAGCGGCGTGGCCTGGGCCCCGCTGGCCGATTTGCCCCCCTAGGATGGGGATATACGATATAAGCCGTTCCCTTCGGGCTTCGAGGGATGTATCCCCAACTGGGGGGGCAATTTGGTGGGGGTCTCGAATGGGGAAACCAAAAGGTACCAATACCGCTACTCCCTGGACCTCTCCTGGGGTGCGTTCTGACCAGGATCTCGAGGCGAATCCAGCGGTGGCGACGACGGAGGCCCAGGAGGCCCAAGAAGGGCAAAGCGAGGGGAGGGCAGAGGTATGGGTACCTTTTCCCCTTCTGATCGAAAGGGATGGGGATGGGGACGGGGGTCGGTTCATCGATACGGATCTTTGAACGCCCGAGGCCATCCCCGAGCCTGCAGGAGGCCACCGGCGCGCGGGCGCGGCAGCCTATCCCACCGTGGCCCGCCCCCCCCCCCCCTGCCGAGCACCTCCGCGGCGCCGAAAGCGCCACCTGGGAGTGCGGGGAGGGGAGCGGGACGCACATCGACATACTAGTACTACATGTCCTCCTCGGAGGCGCGCGTCCGACCCGAACATGTAGTATACCAATATTGTGGTAGATCGTTTCCCGAGCGGTGCGGCCAGAAAGCGCCCGCCACGACGCATACACCATGGGATTTCTCGGTGCGTGCGTCGCCCCTGAGGGGGCGACGCAGACATAGTACTAGTATGCTGGGGTGCTGCCGAGGGAGGGGAGCCCAGCGCAGGCGCAAATCCACCGCCCCTTGAGGTCTAAAAGCTGTCTCGGGGGTCTTCTGACCCGGGTCAGTCCAGAACTGGGTCAGTCAAGCCTTGCAGAGTCCTGCAAGGTCCTGCAAGGTCCTGCACCCAAGGGGCAGTGCGAAGGATCCTGCAAGATCCTGCTGGATCCTGCTCCCAAAGACGAGTCCATGCGACCCTGGCCCTGGCCCAGGAGTGCGGGGAGGAGTCCAGCGCAGGCACAAATCTACCGCCCCCGGATCGGGGGCGCGCAAACATGGACTAGCGATCCATGGATTTGGCGCGCGGTCGCCAAATCCATGGATCGGGGGAGGTGCCCTCCCCAAAGTGCGGCCTGTGCAGCCTCCCTCGGCGGCGGAAATGCACTGTTTCCCATGGAAACGGGACACGCCCCCTTGATCCATGTTGGCGATCGCCTGACTGGAGGTCCACAAGTTCTGTCGCTGTGCGTTTCTGTCCCCCGGGTGTACACCAGCACCGACCCTGGCCAGGCTCATCCAAGGGGCACGAGCGGTGCACACACACACGCCCCGCTGGGAGAATAGAAAAGGAAAAAACGCCATGAGGGGCCCCAGCGCGGCTCCCAGAAATCCTCGCGGAGTGCCGAAAGGGTGATGCTCATGGCGTTTTTGCCGCCTTCTTCGAGAGAGGGCGTGCACACCAGCCCGGGGCCCAGGACTGGCCCCGGTCGGGATCGGCGCTGGGGCAGAGCCAGGCGTCCTCGGGCCCGCCCGCGGGCGCCGAAGCCACTCGTGCAAGAGAAGGGCCGAGCAGGGGCGCCGAGGCACGCGGCGCCGCCACGCGGCCCCCGCCCAGCTCAGGCCCCGAGGGGGTTGTCCAGGGTGCTGTAGTCGTCCTCAGGGCGGCGCGCACAAGGGGGGGTAGGGTTAAGTCGGGCCTGTCCCCCTACAGGGGGATTTTCGGCGAAAAATAAAAGATACACCAAAAATTATCAAAAAATAGTACAAAAATAGTCTGGGGCCTATTTTTTGATTATGTTTTGACCGTTTTGGAATAATTTGGGGGTATGTTTTATTGTTCGTCGAAAATCCCCTGTAGGGGGACGGGCCCGACTTAAGGGTAGGGGGAAGGGGGGAGGGCTTCTTGGGAGGAGGCCGCTGCTTCGAAGGCGCGGGCCTCGCATCTCCGCAGACCAGGCGCCCGCGCCTTCCGAGAAGGAGGGGTGCTCCTGAGGAGCCTTCCCCCCTCCCCCTGCCCCCCTCTGCGAGTGGTTGAGTCCTGTGCTTCTCGCGGGCGCTGCCAGCTGCGCTGCGCCGCTGCCCCGGGCAGCGAGTTCAGGAACTTCAGCTCCTCGCCGCGGGGCAGCAGCAGGTCCCGCTCCATCGGCGCCCTCCTTCATGGGCCGGTTGTCCCCCACCACTACCATAGGTCGGAGGGAGGAGGAGGAGGAGGAGGAGGAGGAGGAGGAGGAGGAGGAGGACCTCCCCTTCCTCCCTCCTCCCCGTCCTACCTATGATAGTGGTGGTGGAGAATGGGCCAATCACTCCTGACCCGGGACAGGGGCACCTGCTGGAAGGAGCTGCCGTTGCAGCGAGCGCAGTGCGCCGGGAGGTCCCTGTTCAGGACCGACACGTCCTGGCTGCAGCCCTTGCACTGCCAGCGCTCCTTCTTCGCCGTGACCGCCTCCAGCACGTGGCCCGCCTTTGCGCACTCGGCCCGGGCGCGCTCCGAGTCCGTCAGCGTGAAGCAGCTCTGGCACTTCCACGCCTGCACGGAGATGTGCATGATGGCCTCCATCTTTGCCTGCGCCTCGTCCTGGACCTCGAGCTCCGCGAGCTGCCGGTCGCGCTTGGCAGCGCGCTCCTGGTCGACAACGTGCTGGAACCGCGACGTCTGCTTCCGTACAGGGTCCTTGCGGGGGTCCCCGTTGGTCAGCTGGAGCGCCACCCGCTTTCCGAACTCGGCCTCCAGCTTCGAGAGGGAGGACTGTCGCAGCCGACTGGGGGAGTCTCGCCGCACTGGCTGCTTGCGCGAGCCGCCAGGCTTCACCGGGAACACCTGGCGCGGCAAGCCGACCTCCAAGGGCACATGGACCCGCGCCAGCTGCTTCGGCCGCGTCCTCGGCGTCGCGTTCGGATCCGGGGCGGGTATCCCGTCCGGGAACTGGGCGCGGATCTGCCGCACGAGCGCGGCCGAGGCGCTGCCGCCGCTGGCCGGGCCGCCGACGGCGGCGCCCGCCCCTGGGGCGGCCATGCTCTTGGCCCACTCCATGAACGAGTCTCTGTCGCGCGCCTCCGTGAAGGCACCCGCTGCGGCGCCCGACGCCGCCGGTCCCGCTGCCGGTTCGCGCGGGGCCCCGGCGGCGCCGGCCTGCGGGGCGGGCGCCGCGGCTGCTGGGGCCGCGGCCTCGTCGGGGGCCGCCCGGCGGGGCGCCCGGTTCTCCTCGCGGCTGCACGCAAGGAGGTGGCCCTGGGCAGGAGTGGCCTCTGCTGGAGGCCTGGACATGGGCACCAGCACCAGCACAGGGGGCTGCCTCCACAGGGGGGGGGGATGGTCCCAGATTTCGGTGCTGGTGGTCACCTTGGAAGCCAGAATATGCCCACCATCACGAGATCGGGATCGTCTTCCCTCGGTGGAGACGCACCGCCGATATTGGCGCTGGTGTCAACCGCTAGGCCTGCGACTTTGATGCGCGGCTGGGCCTGCGACTTTGATGCGCGGCTTCTGGGGAGCCGCGGGGGGACCCAGACACAAGCGTGCAAGACGCTGCCATCGCATCGCGCTCGGCGATGGGGGGAAGGGCCCCAGTGGGCCCGCACCAAGGCTCACTTGGCGGCGCGCACGAGGGGGTAGTGTGAGGGGGGAAGGCTTCTTAGAAGGAGGCTGCTTCTTAGAAGGCGCCGGCCTGACATCTTTAGACAAGGCCCGCGCCTTCTAAGAGGCAGGGATGCTGCTAAGAAGTCTTATCCCCTCCCCCTACCCCCCCCCCGCGCGTGGACGACTCACTCCAGCGAAAGGTCACTTAACGAGAGGCCTCCTAGATTCGGTCGGAGTAGATGGGGTCGGAGGATCACGACGCATCGCCGATACATCGGCGATGCATCGTCGAAGTGGGCGATGCATCGGCGACGTCGACGTGAAGAAAATCGGGCTCCACAAGCCGCACTGGCGATGCATCGGCGATGCGGCGCGATACTCCGACCCCATCTACTCGGACCCCATCTGGGAGGCCTACGGCAGGTTCGCGTCGTGTCGACCCCAGCGTTAGTTCCTGAAACCGCAGGGATCGTTCAATCGGAGCCTTCAAAAAGGCCGGATCGTTCAAGGATGGGCCGATTCTGGGCACAAACAGCGTTCAACCTTACACGCCCGCGCTGGGGTCGCCGCCGGTCGACACGACGCGAACCTGCCGTAGACTACCGTCCAGGTGGCCTGGTCCTCCTCCTCATGCTCGGTGTCGGTCGCGGTGTTGTCCCTGCACATTTTGGGCTTTAATCCGTTGGCAGCGACAGGCCTCCCCTTGGACGAAATAGTGGGGGAGGTGGGTAACTGTGATTTCATATTGCTGGCAAGAACACACAATGTATGTCGTGACAATCGTTCTTTGGGGAGGATGGTGTTGGAGACCACGGCCACTCAGGAGCCCGATTCAAATCGAAGTTGCGGCTGCTCGATTACACTCCCAGCAGGTAACACAGAGTCAAATCTGCGACGCGTTTTCCCAAGCCCAGTGGGTACAGGAGGGAGAGGGGCGGCGGTGAGGTACAAGAAGGGGCCGATGGATGTGTGTCTCATTGTTGCCTACCACCCCCCCCAGCCCTCCAAAGCAGATCGTCATGGTTACCTGCGTACCACGAAGCTGATCTCAGATTGGATGGGTACGATCCTCTCCAGCCTCCCTGTTCGCTGCACGACCTTCGTGTTTTCGGACGTGAACGGCGGCTTGGGGGAGGTGCGGGGGCCCGCGGGATGGAGTTCTATTTCGTCGGAGGCGGTTGGGAGCCCTACTCGGGAAAAACATGCTCAAGGGGCTGGCCAACTGTTTCGGGAACAACTTGAAATACATCATCTGGTGGCGGGGAACACGTTCACCGAGACCCCTGTCCCACCGTTCTTCTCTTCAATTAGTGGGAGTGAAGGTACGCGTATCGAATAGTTCGCTTATCCTGCTGCTCTCGCTCAGGTGCGCAAGTGCCACCTCTTAAGGTCCTTGGGTGCCAAGCTGCAGGCCTACGTGGGCCCTCCTCCTAAGGACCACCTCACGATCTACTTCGAAATGCCGTACTGGAAGGGGGGGAGAGAAGTTTCGCAGGTGAGACAGCCATCTTGGGATACGGGGGCGATGATGAATGCGTTGAGATGGGGCACGGGGAGGGCAGATTTTCTGGAGTCGGCTAAGAGAGAACTGCAGCGATTACCTGTACGTTTCTATTGGGACAGGGCGTCGCCAGACGAGATCATCGAGGGGCTGGAGGACGCAATAGTTAGGGCAGGACAGGAGCACTTTACCAAATCACACACTCCTGCACCAAACTACTCTGAAGATTGTCGTCGTCGTCGTCGAGACCTCCTGCGTACACGGGCCAGCCTTCGACTAAACAAAGTAGGCACCACCTCGGAGACATCGCGTCAGATCGACCAGGACCTTAAGCAGCTCACCAAGGAACTCACCGTGGCCCGTAGGAAGCAGGTACGCGTTAGGCGTGCTCGGCTAGTGGAGGAAGCGAATAAAGCTTTGCGTGCTGGCCGTGAAGCTGAAGGTATGCGCTCACTACGGGCTGCAGCCAGATATAGATTTGGTCCTAATCAGCGTGACGGTCGACTGCTTATATCGGTTCTTCCTACTTGTGATGAATGGATGCAGGTGTGGCAGGAGCCAGGGATGGGAGGGGTATGCCTGCTGAACTCTTGGATTGGGGGCAATGGAGGAGCCAGCGGGAGGAGAAGAAGTATGCTGCAGTACAAAACCCAGAAATAAGTGACCTCGCCGCCCATGACATCCAGACAATGCGCAGATACGTACGTAGTGCACCGAACAGGAAGATGGTACCCACGGGCACGATGCCTTTGGCGTTGTGGCACATGTTATTATATCCTAACTGGCGTATGCGTACAAGGGCGGGGGTAGGTACACGCAGGGAAAGTGGATCGGTTCGTGTGTTTGGGGACATTCTGCGAATAGGCTTGGAGAAGGTTAGGGGCTATTGTGCTTCACCACTTTACTGGCATCTTTCACAGGGTGCTGCAATTCATAAGAACATGCCTTTTGGTCCTCGTGGACGGCGAATCGTGCATGTATTACCCACTGCTGGTAAAGCGTTAGTTGCTTCTCGGGTGGAAGGCCGAGCTACACTGTATGACCACGGGTGTGTTAAAGGACGCAGACGTGAGAACCCGTTCATGATAGCTCAGATTGTTAGCCACCGTCTAAGATAGGTAAAAGGAACTCATTGCATGACACTTAAGGGCATGACTAACGCCTTCGCGAGCACCTCCTGGGAGTCCATGGATGTTAGAATGGAGTTCGTACCACACAGACTTATGTAAGCAACGATACCAGCTCTCGGCAGTGGAACTCGCAGGCAGCGACGGTAAGATTCTTTAGAAACACCGGAAGGCGGAGTTATGGGTGATCCTTTTGTTGTGAAGACTTTCTTGCATACTATTTCACGACCAATACTACGATGGGGTAGACAGCTGATGGACGTGGACGACACGGCAGGAGTGCTCAAGGGCACGCGGGGCACTCTCGCGACCGA